GCTGCTGCTGCTGCTGCTGCTGCTGTTCCTGCTGCTGCTGCTGCTGCTGCTGCTGCTGCTGCTGCTGCAGGAGAGGGGGTGAGAGACAGCAGCACAGCTAGCTTCTCTCTCCACGCCAGCAGCAAACTGCCCCCCTGCTGCACTTCCAGTCTATCGAATGCTCCCGCACGCGCAGAGGAGAATCTATATCTGGTGCATGCAGCAGCAAAAAAAAAAAAAGACAAAGACAACAATAAATATCTGCTGCTGCTGCTGCTGCAGCAGCAGCAGCAGCAGCAAGAACTATAGTAGCAGCAACAGGAATAATAGCAGCAGCAGCAACAGCAACAGCAGCAGAGGCGACAACAGCAGTTGCAGCAGCAGCAGCAACAATAGCAGCAGCAGTAGCAGCAGCAACAGCAACAACAACTACAGCTGAAGAAACATCAACAGCAGCAACAGGTGCAGCAACACCAGACCCATCGATAGCAACAGCAGCAGAAACACCAGCAGGAACAGCAGCATCAGCAGCAGCAACAGCAGCAACAGCAGCAGCAGCAGCAGAAGCAGAAGCAGCAGCAGCAGCAGCAGCAGCAGCAGAGTGTACCTAGCAAGAATACGGTGGTGGAGGTCGAGGACAACAATCATCCCACAGGGCAGCGCAACAGCAACAAACCACTGCCCGCACGCACACTCTGCTGCTGCTGCTGCTGCTGCTGCTGTTGGCGCTGCTGCTGCTGCTGCTGCTGCTGCTGCTGGTTGCTGTAGAGGAGGCAAGGGTACTAGCGGCAGCCGTTGGTTGGGGTGTATCTGCTGCCTGAAGACCCCCACAGGAAAGTCGCGATGCAGCTGGCCTAGAGTTTTTGCTGCTGCAGCAACAGCAACATTGCTGCTGCTGCTGCTGCTGCTGCTGCTGCTGCTGCTGCTGCGGTCTACATACACCCCGTTTGTTAGCTGCAAAGAGCTGCAGGGAGAATAACGAAAAACTGCATGCGCATAGGTGCTGCGTTTGAGGCAGCCAAGGATACGATCAGCTCCTGGGATCGATGGCTTCATGCTGCTGCTGCTGCTGCTGCTGCTGCTGCTGCTGCTGTTTTTCTTAGCAGCAAGTGTATCCTTTTGCTTCGCCTGTCTCCTCGGCACACCGGAAAGGCCAGCGCCTCCCACTCCAGCAGTATACGACTCTTGCTGCTGCTGCTGCTGTTGCTGCTGCTGTTGCTGGTGCTGCTGCTGGTGCTGCTGTTGCTGCTGCTGCTGCTGCTGCTGCTGCTGCTGCTGCTGCTGCTGCTGCTGCTGCTCGCTTGCAGGAGAATGTTGTGGGTCTGTTGCCTGTGCATGCTCACAACTACCCTCACTGCCATTTGCTGCTGATATGCCTTGTTGCTGCTGTCTGTCTTCATGCTGCTGTTGCTGCTGTTCTTGCTGTTGCTGCTGCTGCTGTTGCTGCTGTTGCTGCTGTTGCTGCTGTTGCTGTTGCTGCTGCATCTGTTGCTGCTGCTGCTCTGTTTTCTGTTGTTCTTGCTGCATAACCTGCCGTTTTTCCTGCAGCAGCATCTGTTGCTGCTCTTGCTGCTGCTGCTGCTGCAGCAGCTGCTGCTGCTGCTGGTGCTGCTGCTGGTGCTGCTGCTGCTGGTGTGTGGGTGAGAGGCAGCTAATATATAGATTGAGAGAAAGAAGAGAGACAGAGAGCAGCAGCTTATGGTTTGTTATATCTATAAGTTGACGTATAGGGGGGCAGCTGTCTTGCTGCAGTATAAAATCTATAAGAAAGTAAGACCCCACAAACGGCGGCGGTGTGGGGTTGTTGGGATCGCGATCCCAGCCCTCCTCACCACCCCCATGCTCCTGTATTATATCCTCTGTTAACCTCTTGCTGCTTCGCCTCCTGCTGCTGCTGCTGCTGCTGCTGCTGCTGCTGCTGCTGCTGGTGCTGCTGGTGCTGGTGCTGGTGCTGGTGCTGCAGTTGCTGCTGCAGTTGCTGCTGCAGCAGTGTGTACTTGCTGCTGCTGCTGCTGCTGCTGTGTCTGTATGCTGCTGAGAGGTAAGAGGGGGGCCCCCACATGTGGGGCCCCCCCAGTGGTCAGCTACCCAGCATGAAGACAGCAGCAGCAGATGCTGCTGTTTTGTGTTTATAAAACAAAACTGCAGCAAACGAAAAGAAGAAAGAGAAGAAACACCACCCAACAGGCGGCAACCAATAAACTCTAAGCGACAGAGACGACGAGGATAAGAACCATACACTATAGATTTCTCCATTGCTGCTGCTGCTGCTGCTGCTGCTGCTGCTGGTGCTGCTGCTGCTGGTGCTGCTGCTGGTGCTGCTGCTGGTGGTGGTGCTGCTGGTGCTGGTGCTGGTGGTGCTGGTGCTGCTGCTGGTGCTGGTGCTGGTGGTGGTGCTGCTGGTGGTGCTGCTGGTGGTGCTGGTGCTGCTGGTGCTGCTGGTGCTGCTGCTGTTGCTGCTGGTGGTGCTGCTGGTGCTGCTGCTGGTGCTGCTGCTGGCGATGCTGGTGGTACTGCTGCTGGTGCTGCTGGTGCTGTTGTTGCTGCTGCTGTTGCTGTTGCTGCTGGTGCTGCTGCTGCTGATCCATCTGGTGCAGCTCCTGCTGCAGCAGTTGCTGCAGCAGTTGCTGCTGCAGTTGCTGTTGCAGCAGCTGCTGCAGTTTCTGCTGCAGTTGCTGCTGCAGTTGCTTCTGCAGTTGCTGCTGCAGTTTCTGCTGCAGTTGCTGCTGCAGTTTCTGCTGCAGTTGCTGCTGCAGTTTCTGCTGCAGCTGCTGCTGCAGCTGCTGCTGCAGTTTCTATTGGCTGCAGCGCGAGCAGCTCAACAGCCCCAGCAGCATCAACCAATACAAGAAATTTATCGTCGCATGCAAAGGAGACAGAACTGCAGCGAAAGGGAAGAGAAGCTGTTGTCTCTCCTCTTCCTGCTGCTGCTGCTGCTGCTGCTGCTGCTGCTCCTGCTGCTGCTGGTGCTGCTGCTGCTGCTGCTCCTGCTGCTGCTGCTCCTGCTGCTGCTGGTACTGCTGGTACTGCTGGTACTGCTGCTGCTGGTGCTGCTGCTGCTGCTGCTGCTGCTGCTGCTGCTGCTGGAGAGCACTGGCGGCAGAGGCCTAGGTGGCATCTGTTGCAGCAGCAGCAGCAGCAGCGGATCGGCAGCAAAGAAGGAGCAGCAGCAGCAGCAAATGAAGGGCCCCCAAGACACAGCTCCCACATAGGAAGCAGATATCGTGTATCGACTAAAACTATGCTGTCTGTCGGCTGCTGCTGCTGCTGCTGCTGCTGCAGTTGCTGATGCTGCTGCTGCCGCTGCTGCTGCTGCTGCTGC